ATATATACGTTTGTCATCCTCATAAATTGGAAAATAGAGCCTCCACTATGGAGCACAGAAAAGTGTTAATTTATTTTCTTTCAATAGGATACTTTTCATCAATATCAAAGAACATGAAGCAGAGCTGAGAACTAGCCCAGCTTCGTCACAATGAAGAAACATTTTTTGTATTCCTTTTGATGTAAAGTCTTGTTTTAAACCACAGTGCTTGCACAGTACACGACTGTTTAAAGTGAAAACGTTAAGTAAAGAGACGTTTCAAAGTAATTAAGAAAGTGAACAAGGCTGTGCTAAAGACTTAACTCTATAAAGTCCTTTTTTCTCAGAATGAATGACTAGATGCGTTAACAAGGAGATACACCCCTCTCCCTGCCCTCCCAAAGAGAAAACAAAATAAAAAAAAAAAAAACCTAAATTTTTGTTTTAAAATGACACAGGCAGTCTATTTTTTGTGTTCTGTATAGTTTCCCTAAAACACTGTTTTCCACATAAATACAATAAACTCTATTATTGGTAAGTCACAAGTGTTAGATAAAGTTTTTCTTCTTAAAATGTGAAATGTTTAAGTAGTCCTTTTTATTTTTCTTTGTACAATAAAAAGCACAATTTCTTAAGTTCTGTAAGATGCAATTTCCCCTCCCCCCTTCCTTTTTGTGTGTGTTTGACAGAAAATTGCCTCAACCTTTATCTCTGCAAATCCCATGAGGGGGGGATTTTTTTTTTTCCAAAGCTGCCAAGTTTGGCGTGCAAAATCTGTATACAATATAAAGACATGCCAACCTTACAGACCATGCAACCTCAAGGTGTAGGAAACTTAAAAAAATATATTCATATATATTTCTATATATATTTATATATATATCAATGCCCATAAAACGTGTGGGCCCAAAAAGTGTACAAAAAGGAAGAATGGAATGAATACATGACTGCGGCTAATAAAAAAGGAATGTTTCATATTGAAAGTAAAAAACAAAGCAATCAGTTGTGTACTGCAAACTGGGACTGCCTTCTCAACGAGAACACTTGAAGATGTTGCTTTGTCTCCAAACAGGCAAACTAAAATAGTATCATTGGGCTGGGTGCAACATGATGCATCCTGCTACAGGAGCAACTTCTGGTCTCTTGCTGGTGAAGCTGAAGCGCACCATGTGTAGGTTTAGGAGGGGAAATCGTAAGGAGAGGGAGCGAGTGCTCAATGACTCTACAGGAAATGCCCCTCTTTGGTGGCCACTCCAGAGGGTCTGCTAGCATTCCCCTCGGGACTGGATGTTCGCTGACCCAGGCTGAGCAACACTTTAGTAGGCATCTAAGAAAATGAAGAGGCCAAAACCTCAAGAGGAGAAAAAACGGTGGTCCCAAAAATGAGGACCTTCTTTCCCTTCTATTTGCACCAGTCAAGGGCAGACAGGCCCCAGAACACCCAGCACTTGGCCTGTCAAGCACGGTTTTAGCCAATCCAAGTGACCTAGACTTTGGAATAGACAGCTGAGGTGTACAGTCTTGGTACCCCTTTCCATTGGTGGCAATAACTCAGTGAAATGATTTAAAATACACGAGCAATGTATTTCAGAAGTGACAAGATGGATGGAAAGATAGTACTGAATATTTCAGGTTATTGCCAATCACCCAATTTAAAAGAAACTAACTCAATCTATCAGCAATGGTTCGCAAGGAAAGAGGAACACAAGGGATATTTTCCATAAGGGATACCAAAATTATTAATAAAAAAAGCTTAGGGAGGTCTGGAGATAAAAGTGATCGTGCCCACATTTATGAATGGGTAAATGATTTAAAACATGAAATCACAGGATTCCACAGCCAAATTGCATTTTAGATCACAGCAGCAAAGTGGTCATTTTAAAAGCCAATGCAGACACACATTGTGCATTTTTATATTTGAATCTTACCATCAGACTATGCTGAAGACAGTTCTAATAACTACAGCATTTCATAATTTTAAATGTACTTGGGTTAGCAGAAACTCAAATACAGTAGTGTCTGGTTTTTAAATTGCATTACAAAAATTTAAAACAAAACCCTCTTGCCCTTGCTCACTTGTATGGCATGTTTCAAATTCTTTCCACGAGCCTGAATTCAGTCTGTTCTGAATGGAATGGAAACCAGCTACTTCAAGAACTGGAAAATAAGTTAATATAAAATGACCCTGTCAGTTGCCAGAATAATAAAACAAATGAAAAATACCCTTGGTTGTTCAGATAAGGAATTTGTGCTGTCCTTACCCTGCTGTGAAAAAGTACACATGTCCATTTGGTCTCCTTTAGTCACCTAGCTCCACAACTCAAGGATTTCCTGCTTAAACCGAGGGTCAGCTCCAAAAGGCAATAGGGAAAAATCAATGGAGCTGAAGATTAAAACTCTCTCACCCAACAATGATTTCATCTGAAAAATAAATGTTAAAAAAGTTCTTTGGAGGCCTAAAATTACAATTCTAACAACAATGGTGGTTCAGAAAGATGTTTAGTGTGTGAGAGTTAATGCTAGTTGTCTTAATAGTGTCTGGCAAGCCTTCAACATGGTAGCTACTAATGCCATATATAGTCCTCACCACAATCCACACGGAGGATATGATACATCACCCATTGTAATACTACTATGCTTAAGGTAAAACTCCTTATTTTCTTTACACAGCTTTTATCAGAGAACTGAGGAAATATACAATTGTTGGTATCATACAAAAGAGATCACTGGATTCCCCTCTTAGTTAAATGCACACTTTCTGAAAATAAACTCTGGCACTCTGCAACAGTTCCTTACATCTGTGGAAAGCTGCTCACTGTACAAAAGACATAAAAAAACCCACAGAAAATACACACATGAGAGTAGGGAAGAAAAATGTTGGCATTGCTACCTTTCAGTAAAATAATTGCCAAATGGAAAATAAATGCAAGATTCACACAAACAAGGCTTCTTTACGGTTTTTGTGAAATATCAATATAAAAATTAACAGCAAATTCATAATCTTTGCTTAAAAAACTCATTTTTGTTAGAAAAATCTTAAATTAAAATACAATGTTTAGGGTAGTTGCCCAGTGGCTAATGCGTTGGTGTTCTGAAAACTTTCCAAACTGTGGTTTGAAAATGCTCAAGTTTCAAACTAGATCCCTTTCCAAAAGCACCTTTACATTCCAATTCACAAATAAATCTTTCACTAGGGACCTTTCAATGGCTACTGTTATAGTCTGCATTTATTTTTATATATATTTATATTTATATAAACGCATTATAAATATTTATCAATAATTCAAAAGAATCAGAATTCTAAGTTTGGAATACATTTGTAATATACATTATACATACATACTTATATGTATATATATTTATACCTAACAATTTAAAGCAATTCTCATGCTAGTTGCTTTTAATGAAAAGCATTCCAACCTTAAATCTGCAGTTGTGTCTATTGCATGCTTCAACCACCAAATGGATAAGTTCAATTTCTAGATAATTTCTGAGAGGAAATGTTTGAAAATTTGTTTTTAAAACTGACTGAATTTCAAAGACCCAACAGTATTTGCTACTTCCTTGGCAACTACCTTATTCTCCCCCCTCCACCCTCCCAGCAGTAAACAAAAACGAAAAAAAAATCCAAACTTTCAACAGTTCTGGAGATGCTCTATCCAGCGGATGCCTGCTTCCAGGAATCGTGCCAGTGCGAACCAGTCTTCCTTCCCAATGGTCGTTCTTGGCTTTCCTAGAGGAAATATCGACAAACTGCTGCCGTTCTTTTTCTTAAGGCATTGTTCCTCAAACTTCAGAAAATCCAGCTGCACCAAATCCATCAGCTCAATTAAAAAAAAAAGGCACAAACTCATCTTCAGATGGCTTTGGAGTTTACTAAAGCCGACTCCTTCTGAGCTCCATTTCCTCTCTTTTTATAATGTATAAGCTTTCCTAGAGGAAATATCGACAAACTGCTGCCGTTCTTTTTCTTAAGGCATTGTTCCTCAAACTTCAGAAAATCCAGCTGCACCAAATCCATCAGCTCAATTAAAAAAAAAAGGCACAAACTCATCTTCAGATGGCTTTGGAGTTTACTAAAGCCGACTCCTTCTGAGCTCCATTTCCTCTCTTTTTATAATGTATAA